CCTACTATAAGCAGTTCACCGCTCTGCAGAGCAGCTCACTGCAAACGTGGATTGCCATAGGTGGCGGCGGTTTCTCTACCGAGGCTTGGTCTTCCATGGTGGCCTCATCGAGCTCCCGATCCGCCTTCATCTCGTCTCTCAAGTCCTTCATGGAGACGTATTCCTTCCAAGGTGTTGACCTGGACTGGGAATTCCCAACCGCCTCGACCACCGACGCAGGTAACCTTGTCTCCCTCGTGCAGGAGCTCCGAGCCGCCTTTGGAAAAGATTATGGTATCTCAGCGGCACTGCCAGCGGACTGGGGTAGCATCCAGGGCTTCAACCCTGCCGGCATGGCCAAATCTGTCGACTTCTTCAACTACATGGCCTACGATTTGCACGGCTGGGGTGTTGATTCCAAGCCAGCACAGAATGTTGTGACGGACCAGGCTAGCATCCTTGACATCGCCAACGATCTTATGCCCCTGTGGGCGAACCAGACCGATCCGTCGCTCATCAACCTCGGTATCCCCCTGTACGGCCGCGGGTATACCCTCTCTTCCTCCAGCTGCAACACCCCTGGGTGTGCTGCGTCGGGACCCAGCGAAGAGGGTTCTTGCGTCAAAGATCCGACAGGCGTCATGGTGCTAAGTGATATCAAGACGGCCATATCGGCTAATAAGGCCACCGTCGTGCTTAACAGCACCTCCATGCAGAAGCATGCGACATGGGGAAGTGATCAGTGGATGGGCTATGACGACGCTGATACGTTGACACTGAAGCTAACATGGGCTGATGGATTGTGCTTGGGCGGCGCTGTATTCTGGACGCTTGATAACAACGGCGGTGCATGGGGTGGTAAAAGCCCCTGTCGGCCTGGGGTGTAAGGATAATGAGGGTATTTTAATGTCGAGAGTAAGAGGCTCCAACACATCCTCGCTGGTGTGGTTCGTATCACGTGTTCCGAGTAACTCATGAACGACCAGGGTGTTTGCAATTGTTAGCTATTGTAAATATCCCATCGCCTTAATTTTTGGACTTGAATATTAAAAAATGCTCTTATATGTATATATATATATCTGGTCTTAAGATTAAGGATTCGTTCTATTATCTTGCATAGGCCGGCGGTCCGTTGTAGCCTGTAGGACAGCGATGAAGCGACACTCTAACAATCTATCGCCAAGCCGGGGCTGAGCATCTTAACGCGAGTGGCTGAGCTTAGGCAGCACCAATGCCTTTGGGCAAAGAGGGCAACCTTTTGTAACTCCTCATCATCGATCTTCATCATCGGTTATCCCGACTTCAACTATAATAAAGAACACATTTCCAACACATCATAGGATCATATCCCAATGCTAACACTGTGCTCCCCCTGTCACTTATCATGCACGTCGTAGAGGAATACTCTACCGTTCTGAGACATCTTGCCAGACACTACGGGCCTCTGAAATATCCAGCCCATGATGTTGTCATCAAGACTTGTTCCGCTTCTCCCGGCTGCGCTTACCAGCTGCAAACATGGCTTCCTTTATCTGGGCTTGTCTTTCTTCTTCCTCCTTCTTCTCTTTCTCGGCTTTCGCCTCGTCACGCTTTTCCTTGCTAGATTTCCCGGTCGCCACCGTAACGTCTTCGTATGCGAGCTCTCGCTCGAGGCTGTCCTCCCTTTGCTCGTGACTTTCAGGCATGGCACAAAGCTACACTCGCTTGTCAGATGAGTAACGTGAGCCACCGTGGATTCCGACTCACTTTTGCAAATTGTATGATTGGATAGTATGTGATAGCTTAAGAAAGGATTCGGGACTATTTGATCTGATAGTAGTACTGGACAGAGGTTCCACGGGGAAACGAGCAACGAGATACAAGAATCAGATTGCGCGCGGATTGGGGCCTGCCTGACATTAAAGTAACTGAAGCAGGCTCTTTATACCTTTCATCCGTCTTGTCGTCCCCTATCATAGCCCCCCCTCGAACAGCGGCCGAAAAGTGCATTTTCCCACACACACTTCCGTGGAAGTGTCCGGATCAGGTCATGATAATTAGGCAGCAGGCCAAATTGATGGGCTGATCAAGGTAGGAACCAACTGCAGATGAGAGTGGGAGGAATAGCCATTGGATGAACCAGGAGGAGTCTATCTTCTGCCTCAGGCACCAAGGATAGACGGCTTCTGTGACCCCACTTGTCTGGCGTTTTACAATTCTCCCTCCCACCTATTTACCACACCTCCTTTTTATTAATGCTTAAACACACGGCGGCATCATTGCGACTACTAAGAATATGTCTAAAGCTCGGCAAAACTTTGACGAAGTTGCGTGGGATAGAAATGACGAAGCTTGGGAGAAGTCCCAGAAGCAACTCCGGCTCAAATCCACCTGCCGCCTAGTTGAGTCTCTCGCCGAAAAAGTCTTAGGGAAACGGGCTTCGCTAGTTTCTCCGATATTCTTTGGAGGGTTCAATGTGCTTTATCGAATTCACCTTGAAGGAGATGATTCCAATGTTATTGTTCGACTACCATGTCCAGATCTGGTCCAGTTCCCGGAAGAAAAGACGCTCTACGAGGCCGCAACCATGGCGTACCTTGCCCAAAATACCCCTATTCCGGTTCCAAGTATCTTTCACCATGCTACTTCCTCAGACATCGGACCGGCCATAATCCTACAGCACGTCAAGAACACAAGGGACATGTCAGACGCCCTTGCAATTCCGGATCAAGATCCAGAGGACACACCGGTCCTAAACCCAAACATTGACGAGGGTACGCTTAGACGGCTGTACAAGAACATTGGCATTCTCTTGGTGCAGCTCTCAAAACCTAGCTTTCCCCGGATTGGATCATTGGTCGAGGTTGCAAAAGGCCACTATTCGGTTGCTGGACGACCCATCACCCAGAACATGAACAATATGATCCAACTTGCCAACATTCCAAAAGCAGTACTTCCGTCAGCAAATAAGACCTATGAGAGTGCCGACGACTGGTATACTGCTCTGGCCGAAATGCATATGGCACAGCTACTCTTCCAACACAACGATCTTGTCCGTTCAGAGGATGACGGCCGAAATAAATATGTGGCCCGCTATCTATTTTACTTGCTTGCAAAACAAGGCCGATTATCTTCCTTCGGATTTGTCGAGGATGACTGGTCAGCCCAGTCTAACTCTTCGAAATTCACCTGCTCAAGACCGAACGGGTCGGACTCTTTTCGACTTTGGTGCGACGACTTGAGGCCAGCCAACCTTCTACTAAGTCAAGAGGACGACGTGGTTGCGGCGATTGACTGGGAATTCACTTATGTCTCACCTACCCAATTTAGTCTCGACCCTCCTTGGTGGCTCTTGTTAGAAGTTCCTGAGATGTGGTCTTCCGGAATTGATGACTGGGCTAGTATTTACGACCTCCGACTCAAGACCTGGTTACTTGCGATGGAAGAAGCCGAATGCATCTCGACTGACAAACTACCTTTCAAACTCTCCTCTTATATGCGTGAAAGCTGGCTGAGCGGTCGCTTCTGGCTCAACTACGCCTCAAGAAAGAGTTGGGCCTTTGACGCAATCTATTGGAAGTACTTGGACGAAAGGTTCTTTGGCCCCCGAGAAGCAAATGCCTCGGAGGATCAGTTTTGGAAAACAAGAGTACATCTTTTAGGGGAAGAAGGAAGAAGAAACATGGACATCGTCGTGCAAAGAAAGATGGATGAGGCGAAAGAACGGGTCTTGGTAGACTGGGATCCAAGCAAGGCAAAGGAACTTCTACACCAGATACTGGAAGGCAGTGAAGACTTGAAGATCTAAGTAATAGCGAAAGAATCCGAGTCTTATTTATTAAAGAAATTGGGCTCCAGACTTGGTAGACCCCTCCAACGGCTTCCACTACGTCGATGTTCTGCACCCAAACCAACGGCAGCAATCAGGTCAAGGCACCATTCGACAGATCTGCGATCACATTGAGGGACTAAAAAAGACAAATAATACATTAAAGTACAATAAGAAGCAAGCCTGGCCCTTGATGGTATAGTTGCGCCGTCGATAGATAGTACAACAAGAAGCAACGCAACTGTGATTGACCGCAAATGTCGTCAACGTCCATCAATCAACGACCCCGATTCTCTACCAGCAGCCGGAGGATATCCCAATGCCCTTTCTCTTTCGCTCGTGTCATTGCGTCTTTTCCTCCTTGCTCTTTCAATTCCACTCGGGCACCATGGTCCAGCAGGAGCTTGACAATTACCCCATTCCCAAGCTCAGCAGCTCGTGAGAGAGGTGTTCTAATACCGGCTGGTTTGTGAAATGTTCTGGACCCCAAGTTGTTTCCAAGGTCTTGGAACTCTCTCAAAACATCTTGTTTGTCCATTTTACCCATAAGCCTCTTGAAAGACGGAGGATCTGGCTCGAGGTCGTCGAATTCGCTGAAAGCATCTCGATTATCTCTCTGTTTGACACGTTCCTTGAGCTTCCCCACGACCTCTACACTGACAGTACTCCCAATAGAATAAGCCACTTCAAAATAAGATTTGGCGAATTCGTATAGGCCGTCTTGTTTCTCGGAGATGCAATCAAAAATAGGCATCGGTAGACAATAAACATACTCAGTCTCTGCGTCACTATCAAGTAAAATTTTGACAATGTCCGGGAAACCTGCTTCTATCGCATGTGTCAATAGCGTTCGAAAGCCCAGACCTGTCGGGGAGGAATAAGCCTGTGGGACTTTCGGGAGTTTCTCGTTTGGCCATATCTTTGGCCAACGCGACAATATGTGCTCAAAAGGGTATCTCAAGTCGACGTCAATACTGCCCGTTTTCAGGAACAGCTTAACCACTGTGGTTTGTCCTTCTTCGATCGCCCATAGCAACGGCGTCATTCCCATAGAATCGACCGGACGCGCATCGTAACCGTGGTGCAAGAAACTGCGGACTTGATCGGCCAGTCCAAAAGACGCTGCGAGATGGAGCCCTGTCACCCCAAATTTAGGTTGAATAGTTCCAGCTTTGGTGAACTGCAGGAACTGGAACGATGTCACGGCGCTCATACCTCCGTGGCGCAACGGGTTATGCGTCAGGAGGTCTCAGATATGGGTCGCAGGTTCGATTCCTGCCGGAGGCCCCTGGAGGCGATCTGGGCCTGCGGCTTTTCCCCGTAGACCCATATGGCGCCAAGTAACCCAATCGCAACCATAATCTAGCCCTGCGATCTCGTGGCCTTAGGCCATAATATAAAGTTTTATAACTTAGGCCTAGATATTTTAGGGTTTTTATCTATACGCTAGGTTTCCCGTTTATTATCTATTTAGGAAGGGTCTTACTATATAAGCTATGTTAATCCATATAAAGTGCGCGCTCCTTTAGAGGAAGAGCTTAGACGTTTTAAAAAAACGGCGCTTATTTCTGACTTGAGGAAGGACCTGATCCATTTGTTTATAGCTTTCTTCGTGGTTCTATTCTCTTCGAGACTGTCACGCGCGTGATGGCCCTAATTCTGTGCCGCATAGCCGAAGAAGGGGTTTGCTCGAAGGAGGTGCCTTACTTCGGTAATCGTTTCAAAGGGCTCCTGTATGCGGATGCCGAATGAGAGATACTGGACACATGCTTTCGTGATGAGAGACGCCACTCCTGGAAAATGGCCACTTTTTCGCCCAAAGTACTCCTGGGCGGTTTGATGAGCTAGCCGAATGATGTCGCTTTCTCTGTCCACAATGACCAGTCCGGCAAATAGCGGCAGTAGATCGGCAAGTTTTGGAATGTAGTCTGAGCTGAAAGACTTATTTCCCTTTCCAACAGCGAGAGCGTGCAGGAGTTCCAAGGTAGATAGTGGCCTTTTCGAGTAGACGATCCACTGCAATGCCTCGATGGCCAATTCTTTTTGTGCTTGCTTTTGGTTTCCGATTCTCTTCATGATCTTGTCGTATGCGTCATCCAGTGCCGGTTCCCCCTTTCCTAGGTTTTTCAAAGCGTCTAAGAGGTGCCCCTTTGTTGACTGAGAGAGCAACGAGTCAGTTTGGAACTTCACAAGAAGGAACCTGACATGTCATTAGCTTAAACCTGCCACACACTTCAATAACGCGACGATAACATACATTCCACTAGCGGCTTCCAAGACTCCTCTCTTAACCATCTGCCGCATGTCATTATCGTCTAAATAGCCAGGGCACTCGTGTTGCATTCTGTCCTGCAAATACATGAGAATATCTTCATCAGTCGCTCTGACCTCTCTTGAGAGATGAGTTCGGAGGACAGGTGTATCCTCTGGCTTGAACCGGGAAGTGGCAAAGATGTTGACTCCACAATCTTCTTGGAGTTTAAGCAACCAGTGAAGGAACTTGGATAGGTTAAGAGAGCGGCACTCGTCCAGGGCGTCAATGACGATAAAAGCCTTTGAGAATTGCGAGCACGCATCACAGATGGTCTCAATAATAACCTCAGGTGTTGGCCTTGTATGAATCGCTTGGTGTTTGCTAAATAGATCTGTGACGCACTTGGGAAGAGGGGAACGCGGTTGGGTGAGCTGCTTCAATAAGTTCAAAAGAAGGTCTTCCGGGTCCTGAATGTCTTGCTTTCGAAAATTGAAGTAAATGTAAGCGATACCCACTTTCTGGTCGCTGCAAAATCGTTGGCATAGGTGGTCGATGACGATTGTGGTGATGATTGTCTTGCCTGCACCAGGAATGCCATGACAGAACAGCGTCTGTCCTTTTGATTCTGCCCAGTCCTTGAATTCTGGAGAGTGCAGAAGCCATTGGCCAGTTCCGGGTTGTCTTTGTCTAAACAAGTCGTTATGCTGAGGGGCGTAGTCAACTGGAGTGAGCCACTCCAGAATCCTGGCAGCATCACGATCGTGTTTCGCGCCAACCAGTGTATCAACATCCGTCCTGATGCCTTCATTCAAGTTAATAACTATGTGCAAAGGCTAGAATTTCCAAGACTAACCTTGAACAACCTCCCTCACTTGCTCCAGCTCCTCGACCTTCTCAAGCGGGACTCCCAACAACAGCATTCTGGCATAGGCGGCGGCAGCCATGGCTGCATACTGTTTCCAGTTCCCATTTTTGTGCGAATCGGCATAGTCACTAATGCCCCGAATGACCAGACAGGGCCACTCGTTCATGAGACCCGCCGCCTCCATCTCGAAGCATAGGACGTTTTCCTTCTCTGCGATGCTGTCACGCCGCCGCGCGTCCTTGATAACCGTATTGCCAGACCCGATGTTACCATAGTGGATCTTGGGGTTATTGGACTTCCGAGGCTTACGCTCGACCACATTCTTGGGGTTCTGGTCCTCGCTGCAAGCGTCACAGTCATCCCCTCCGAGATGAGGATATTCTGGTTTGAAGAGAATGTCCTTTTCAGAGCCGGGATAGGCCCAATACTCCTCGTCATCAAACTTGTCGAGGGCCTTCTTAAGCACCTTTGCAAGATTCTTGCCCTGTTTAGGGTCGGATCTCAACGTGCGCAATGTGGATAAAAGGATCTTCGGAGGTTTGTTCATGACGCCCACGCGATCAAAGGTACCGACTTCCTCTCTTCCCATGTCGTACTGGATGACCCCACCTCCCTGGCCGTCAGGCTCCGAAACAACGACATCACCAAGTCGGATATCGTTCCTCTTGCTTGGTACGTCGCCTCCAATCCCTACCATGAGGATGAACCTCAACTTAGGAAACGTGGATATCATTGACTTGACGGCGCTAGTAGCAGAACTGATGCCATATTCAGGCAGCACGGGCATAACAATATTGTGTTGCTTGATATTGCCCATGATGTAGCTGTTTTCGTCATTGCGGTGTTGATGTGAGGGACGCTCATGTTCCTGGTCGAGCATGGCACGGGCAGCACCAAGTTCCTCTGAAAGCGCGGAAATCCAGCCGATCGTGTATTGCTCGGGAGGAAAGCTGGGCTTGTCGTCGGGCTCGGAATCGGACATGATTGCTGTAATGGGCTCCCAACCGTGGACGAAAGCAAGTTGAACCAGCAAAGTCGAAGGAAAGAGTCCAGCCCTCAGAGAAGAAGAGAAGAGGACAGACGAAGGCCCTCTCCACTCTCTGCGTCGCCTCTTGGCAACGTGTCACATTTCCCATCAGGCTGTGGTTTCGGTGCTTTTTACTGGGGGCTTGTCGAGGCATTGATGCTGCGCCCCGCCCAGCTGATTGCACTTACAGATGAGCCATGGTAGTTTTAACGAATTAGATACACTCTCGTAGCGACTATGCTCTCTTGTCTTGCTCTCTTGCTCAGCTCAATGCAGCCACTCGCCAAGAAGTGGAAAGAGAAGCCATCGAGTGGCCTAGCCACAGTCAATGCTTCGCCTTGAGGCCGCCCATCTGTAGAGAGTGTGTGGTGCGCGCACCCGACCTTTCACTATCACAAATCTCAAAGTTGCTGCTCTGATGCACATAGCGAGGCAGACAACGAAGCAAACGACGAAGCAGCCAACCCAATGTGGTTTGCAGTTTAAACAGTGGCAGTTGTTGTCTATTCTTTGGGTGCCATCGGTGCACTACGGCTCTTATTGGCGAATCTCATTGGTGTACGAAGTCACATATAAGAAGGCAGTGTGTGAAACTCTCCAGTTGTCTATTCTCGACCATATCCTCAACTCTACTCCTCTCTCAAATCTCCTAAGACACCTAGTTGCACTCGTGGTTCTGGTCATCCGAGTACAGATAGTCCTTCTGGATCGTAATTCCAGCGTTGGTCCAAGTCTTGCCACCATCGGAAGTCTCAAAGCCTTCACTCGTGGCACCGGTAAGCGAAAGGGTGTTGCCGTAGTCAGGGTCAGCCGCAGACAGATGGACGGTGATATTTTCCCAAGTGTAGCCCTGGAGGGTACCGCAAGACTGCAGGTAGCATTCGTTGGCTCCGTAAAAGACGGCGGGTTTCATGCCAGCGGCGTTGGTCTGGGTCGAGATGACCTTGCCGCCAGAAGATATAGTCTGCTTGACCTCTGAACCAGCCACAAGCTCAAAGTCGAGCTGGATACCATTTTCGATAGGCAGGTAAGGCTGTCCGATCTGACCAGAAGGCGTGTAAGTGCTCGCAGCAACGCACCACTGGTTGTTGTCCGTCTCGCAACCAGTAGCCCGCTGATCCGGCGCCCAGTTCAGCAACGGCTGAACGAAACTCTCTTGAGCGACGTCTTTGCCGGTAGGATCATCTTGAATGCCGATCCAAAAGGCGAGCTCCTCGTTGCCGCCAGTAGTAGCGTAGCCACATGGGACGGATGGTGGGACCAAAGAGTATGTGGCCTTTGTGATGGTGACACCATTCTTGGTAGGTCCGGTGTAGAACATGTTTCCAAACTTGTACTGGCCCTGCCAACCAGCGGCATGGGCACCGCCAGTGGCGGCAGAGAGTAGAAGAGCGGAAGTGACAGAGGAGCGCATGTTGGGTGATTTCTTTTTTCCCACCTGGGTATCAAGGGAACGAATGATGTACAGAGAATGAAACGAATGTATTTAGTGAGAAACGAAAGATAGTGAACAAAGGTCTTGGCTCGGTAAGTCACCTTGGGATCCCTCAGTTTTATTTGCCAGATGTTTCAGAAATGGCCCGGATATGCGGCTCAGGGGCAAGTTGAAGCTGCCAGGGTCTTTAAATGATTGGCCATCATAATTAATCTGTAGTGATTAGGGACGCCTCTGATTAGTGGGTTAATCCACAGAAACTATGTCTTGGTATTTTCCGGTTGCAACTGTTCGTATCGAGTTGGAGAGAGCGCGCTAGGACCATGCTACAAGGATCAAGACCCTCGTTGATGGGACCAGTTGTTTCAATCTCAAACCGGATTAAGATTGTCCCAAACTTTCAAGCAGTTTATGACATGAGTTGGGGTTTATAGGTTGTATTTGACTCCATCGACTCAGACCCTTCCATGGGCAGGGGAGATGATCCTGTGAGAAATGAGGACTCATAACTGCCGACGACATCCAAACGCCAGTAAAGGGCCCACAAAATGCAAGCAGAATTTCACTCCAGTGGTGCTTCTTTGTCTAAGTAGGTTATGATGTTTTACGGTATTGGACTTTAATGCCGTGATAACTGTGTCCGTGTCTCCTGTGGCCAATGGTCCCTTTAGAGCCGTCATTGACGAGAATAATAAAAAATACTTCT